AGTCTATAATTCTGTTAATAAGGAACAAAGCTACTTTAACAGTCGGGACCCATTAGATATTCAAGAATAGATAATATTTTTCAACAGTGGGTCCCGACTGTTAAAGTAGCTTTGTTCCTTATTAACAGAATTATAGACTACTGGACTTGTTTTTCTCTTTTCAGTTTTTATTTGAAGTATAATTAAGCAGTCGGGTTTTTTGATTTTTTAAATTTACCTTTTTTTTCTTTTACATAGTACACCGCGCTATCACTTTGTCATCGTTGTAACTTTTTAAATATTTGTCGAAATGACATTGTGTAAAAAGCAAAGTTTATCGTCTTTAAATATCAAAAGCGATTAAAGTATTTGTTTTGATAAAAAATGATTTGTTAATACAAAATGTGCATTTTGGAAATAGATATCAAAAAATATTTTAGTTTTGATTCACTATTTTAGCGGTAATGACTTACACATTAAAAATAGATATATGGTGTCACGAACTTTTTTTTAGAACTATTTAAGACATACATTTTCACTCTACATTACATTCATGTAACTTTTATTGTTTTTGCAGTGCAGGCCAAAATGGCTCGCAGATGGGACATTTTTTCCCGTCTTATGTGACACTTATTGCTATATATTGGCCAATTCACTCAATAACTACATAAATTATTATATATATGTAATTATCGTATATGAGCTATATTACTGTTAAGTTTCATTAAAATCCATTCAGTATTTTTTAGGTGAAAGAGTAACAAAGATCCATACAAACGTAAGATTGAAATTAAAAGCGTAAGTGGTTAATATACAACTTTAAAGCATTGTAGATCCTAAACAATCATATAAAATGAAAAATGGTGTTTGGAACCTAAATATGATTTTTTATTATCTAGACAGTGATACCCCATTCGACATATTTTGTCAACTTATTTTTTTTACTTCGTCACAATATGGCGCCTAATTTTGCCCATATTGAATTTTGATTACTATCATATCTTTAGTAGCACTCCCATGATTGAGACGAATCGATTGATGTATGAATCATCAATATCGGTCCAGGCGTTTGGTCTCTAGTGTGCCACAAAGGAACAAACATACATATATAGACTGTTAAACACATAACCCTGTCTGCGCGTCGCGCTTCGCGCTCTTGCATTGCGCAGCCGGGTAAAAATGATCTACATGCAACTTTCCAGAAATATATATATATAGGCGTGCGCTAAGATTTTTCAAAAACTCACCCACTAAAGGGGTATAACTACACCTTACCTTACCTTACCTTACCTTACCATACCTTACCTTACCTTACCTTACCTTACCTTACCTTACCTTGCCTTACCTTACCTTACCTATAGAAATTGAAATAACCACCAAATAATAAATAACAAATAATAAATAAAAATAGTAGGTGCAGCCTTCGTGGTTATTACGCCACAAAATAAAACAGTAATAAATAAGCTCAAATTGCATGACTCATGCACGGTGTTCCAGGCCGAAGCATTTGCAGTCCAAAAAGCAACGGAATGGTGTGTACAAAACAAAAAAATGGTTGCCTGTAAAGTCGGTTTTACGGGCGAAGATTTTACGTGACAACGTCTTTTTCTCGGTAGAATATTTATTGATATGAATATAATTAAATTGCACAATAGGAACAAGGAATTGAATGAAAATAAGAATTGCACAAATTTTAACTATAGAAATATATTTTGTTTACTAAAACATTGTACATGTAAACTTAAACTTAACACGAGAGACTCATCGTAACGTTACCGAGCGTTACACTTTTTCATAAGTGACTCCCAGCCGCAACCTAATTTAAGACGTTGTCACGTCAATAAAACAAAGTAAAATTTACTCAGATTCCCTTTCCGCCCTCCAAGAACTCAAAAATAGGAACTCAACGAACACGATAATCGCTGAAACCCACATAAATATACATAAACTACGACAAATTGGAACAATCCACTTCTCGTGGGTGAAGGCGCATTGCGGAATATACGGTAATGAGTTGGCGGATGAAGCAGCAAAAGCAGCTACAACAATAGAGAAAACACCAGAATACAATAAATTTCCAATTTCATTCCATAAAAAACAGGCCAAAGAAGAAATAGAATTAGAAACAAATAAAAGATATTTACAAAGCACCACTGGACAACACACCAAACACCTATTCCCAGATTTAAGAACATTAAACATGATAATAGAAAAAATACCTGCTAACTTCATTACTACTCAAATATATACAGGACATGGGTACCATTTACAGTATCTACATCGATTTAAAATAAAAGAAACAGACAAATGTCCCTGTGACGATACAACCCAACAAACACTAGAACATCTAATACAAAACTGTCCAAAATATAGCACATACAGAAATGAATATATACAAACTTTTCAATATACAACTTATACAAACAATAAAAACCTAAACCCCTATGAATTAAATAACATTATTAAAAAAGAAACAACAATCAAATCATATATAGAATTCATCCAAAAAATCATATTGAACTTAAAAGAATTTAACAAAAACATCAATTAAAATTTACAAAAACACAAATATACTTTATTAACATAAAACAGTAGCCGGCTTAACCTTTAAGGTGTATGGCTTAATAAAGAATAAAAAAAAAAAAAAAACATAAAACAGTGAGAATAACAAAGCAAACGGATACCAAAATAAAAAATACCTTACCTTGTGTGAAACACGAAAACACGAATATTTGCTGTCGATACTTTTTTTTTTAAAGTTGACAGAAGAATTGCTCGGATGAGGTAAATAGTGCTCTTTTAAAAAAAAGATGGCGCGTAACCAAAAAACGTGACGCGTAACCGAATAAAAATGTGACGGTAATTTTTTTTCCAACGCCGATAAAGAAGTTTTACAATAATGAACACGTATTTTTTCTTTGGGCAATCAACCAAAAAATGACAAAGCTATAGCGCGTCAAAATTTGGGAGTAGGGGCTCGTGACGTCACTTTTTAGTGAATTTTCACTTAAAAGTTTACTAAAACGTGACGTCATGCGACTTTTCGAATCAAGATATCTCTGCAATGTTTATATTATGTGAAAAAAGAAAAAATAGTCATCACCCTATTGGAAAAAATACTTTTTTAATTAACAACGACTTCAAAAAACTGAAAGTGAAAAATAAAGATTTACCGACCGATATACCTATTCGAAATCGATACCGTGACATTGTGTGTAGCAGGGTGATCCTGGTGATGGTATCGACTTCACATCAGTCGCTAAATCTTATTTTTTCGTTTAAGATTTTTTTAAAAGTCGGTCTATTTTTTAAAAAAATATCTTATTTTTCCATTTTTATAGATACAGAATACGCTACTGGTTGGAAATACAAGCGTAGGTCAATAGGAAAATCGCGCTTAACCGCACTCTTCCAATTGATCTACGCGAGTAACACCGTAGGACACTGCTAGTCTAGTATATTATATGGAAAAACCATCCCTGATAAATACACATTTAACACTAACAATACTGATAACCCCATCCAAATCAGATCAGTAGTTTTTGAGATAATCACGGATAAAAATACACACATACGAGTACATACAGTTCAAACTGATAACATTATTTTTAGCGTTCCGTAGCTAAATGGCAAAAAAATCTGATCTGATGTATTCTGCGAACTGCATTAGGATTTTCACACAAAAATAGAAAAAACAATCAATTTTGGGGGTTCCCCATACTTAGAACCGAAACTCAAAAATGATTTTTTCATCAAACCCATACGTGTGGGGTATCTATGGATAGGTATTCAAAAATGATATTGAGGATAAAATATTTTTTTCTAAACTATTCGTTTACGCGAGATACACTTCCAAAGTGCTAAAATGTGCCCCCCCCCCTGTAACTTCTAAAATAAGAGAATGATAAAACTTTAAAAGTATATAATGTAGATTACCATGCAAACTTCCACCGAAAATTGGTTTCATCGAGATCCAGTAAGTAGTTTTTTTTTTATAATATGTCATAAATCGTAAACCGCTATTTACCTTTAATTCAATCAACTCAAATATAAAAATTAAAAACAAAAAACATAAACATAAACGTTATGTATAAACCGTGAACAATTATTTTCTAATAATAAATCTGTAATAGGTGCCTTAATTTGTCTGGATTTTTTTATTAGAAAGAATATGAGTAAAACTACTTATTAAGTTATATCAAATAAGTCAAATAATCTTTATTAAGTTTTCATTAACTTAAAAGAAAATATAAATCATCTTTAAAAATCAATAAACTCCAACCTCGCGATGCGACCGTCTGATTGCATTTTGTGACTAAAATAACCGGACGTTTTTTTGAAATGTCGGGCTTTTTGCCAGGACTTTTCAAAATTTTAAATAGTAACCCTAGTAGCGGGTGTAGAGCGCGCAGGGGGCAGGTTTTATATTATGTTACTTGCTGCTACGGAACCTTTCATGAGCGAGTCCGACTCGCACTTGGCCGGCTTTTTTTAAGGTCTGTCGAATACAAAACTTACAGTGCGTCCAAGATCTTTAAGTGAAAATTGGAACTAATACTAATTTTGTAAACATCATATTTTGTATGTCATTTACGGTTACTTACGTTAACAGTGACGCCTTCCCTGACCTGTCACTCATATTCATTAAGATCTCGGTCGCACTGTAGGTAGTGTTTGGTCACAGACGTAAGAGTAGAGTATCGTACAGCAGTGAACATGTAAACAGTGTACTTATGTATTTGATATGTAGAAGGCCAAAGGGGAAGATCTTCCTCCGAGCTGGGTGATGTTAGGTCGGGGGGCCGCGGCCCGACTGACGTTGGTCGGGCATCGTATATATGAACTGTTGACTACCGAATTTTACTTGCGCGATGTAGGCTTCCTTACGTTGTGAACGCAGCGCCGGTAGTGCCATCTCTTGAGGAGGCGTAAGATTGTTTTCCTCTATGTTAGTTATACTCGTATGTGGGGCGTGTTGATGTCGCCGCCACAGATATTTAAACGAATATGTTTGGTTACAGACATGAGGGGCGGCAGCATGTGGAGGTGGCCGGCGAGGGCGGCGGCGGTAGGGACGCAGGTGCCGGTGGCGGCATGAGGAAGTTCGTGCGCACGCGGCCGCCCCCCGCGCCCTCGCCGCCGCCGCCGCCGCCGCAGCCCGACCCCGCGTCAGACAAGCATCCCGCCCAGAGACACCTCAACGGACATGCCAGTCAGTATACCTACACTCCATCGTCAGCCTATTGATGTCCCCTGTGGCGGCGACATCTATATGCCCCACATATATACAACGGACGGAGGAAATCATTATTCACCGTCCTCAAGAGATGGCGTTACCTGCACTGCGATCATAATAGTATGGAAGCCTACATTGCGCAAATGAAATTCGGAGGCTAACTCTTCATATATACGATGCCCGACCAACATCAGTCGGGCCGCGGCCCCCGAGCTAACATCACCTAGATCGGAGGAAGATCTTCCCCTTTGGCCTTCCTACACCCCAATTCCCCACTGCTGCAACACACGCATTCCGTATGGATGGCGTAGGGAGAATGGGCCGTGACTCACCATGCCCGCCCAATGCAGATCGATGGGTGCTAACGACAGCAGATGCAGCCTTAACCTATGGCTTAACGTGCTTTCGCTCGAGATAAGAAGTTTTCGGTCACCCATCCAATGACTGGCCATTACGAAAGTTGCTTAACTTTCACGATCGCAGGCATGCATACAGTATGCCCTGTACTTAAGTGTTTCGTTCCCTAAGGAGCATCCTTTAGAGCTTTCTAATGTCCAATTGTTGAATGAGCTGATGCAAGTAATTAACTTGCAAGTTTTTCCATCTGTTGTGTAGAAGATGCGAGTTAGGCATTTCGGATATATAATATTTCTATTTGCTCTGCTGGTGTTTTGTTTGGCTGGTCCCAAGGCATTGTTGCCTTGAAGTATTCCTCGCACGTCTGCCCCTCGAAGTTGTATTATAAATCATTTTAACGTACATGCTAGTTGGAGCAAAATATCCGTCGTGCTCTAATTATTTTAAACTTACTGCATGCCAGGCAGACGATTTGGACCACATTTTGTTCATAAAATCAGGCCAATAGATGTACTTTCTGCGCATACGATGAATACAGGAGTGAGGTCTATTTATTTTCAAAGGTTGGGAACCATAAAATGATCCGAGCAAGTGTGGTGTGTAGGTAGTTATGACCACGGAATATCTAGATATAAAATATATTAATCTTTCTGTATATTATGTGGGTATTGTGGGTGTGTCGCTTGCGATGCTGACCTTTCCTTCAAAGGTCACGAGTTTGATTATGATGAAAATAAAATTAAGGTAGTTACATTGTTTTGTAATCATGGAGGATTTCTACATTTAAGTTGTTGTAGCCCAAATGAAACATTTCGCATTTATGCTTCTATCTAAAAGTTCATATTTAGATTTCTAGAAAACTGTTTACAAACTTCAATTAAGTTGTAAATTGTACTTTCATATTAGGACAAATTGAAATACTTATGTTATGACAGGACTTTTGGAAATAGATATATTGATATATTCCAATACTTGGAAATATGAAGATAGTTCCCTGATGTAGGACATTTTGAAGTGTAGATGTTCGTGGTTTGTAGGTAATAACTATTACCGAAGGTTATGGTAATATCTTTCACCTGAACTAGCTTGAGAGCAATATGTTAAGTGTGATGTTCTCCATATTTTACTTGTTAATATTTGGCTTACTGCTTTTAGTTCAGAGCGAAAGAATTCGTGCGAATTCTTGCAGAATACAACTATGCATTGACGCACTGTTTGAAGTTTAAACAAATTCTATTATGTTTCGCACGCACACGTAGTGAAATTAAAGATGAGCAGACAGATAGAGCGCAGTAAATTGCCCATTCATCGCGGCCGCGAGCATTGTTGGTATTCGCCTCAGTTTGCGGAGCATTCCCATCTTGTTCGCGCTTATTGCCACAGTTTCGGGTCCCGGGGCCCATTCCGGATGACGTTACGATTCAAAAGTTCCGAGTGAACTGTTACCTGATGAGTGGAAAGTGAATCGCATTGTTTCGAGTGCCTCCGGCCGCGTCGCCGCCGCTTGACGCGTCTGCCAAGAACCTAGATCATGTTGCATTGTAAGCGGCGCCGGCAGCTGACGGACAATGACCGCCTCCTCACTGTACTTGACGAAGTTCTTTGTTAATATTTGTGTAGTACTGCCGTACTGCCCTGAGAGTAAAAAACTAAATATAGAATTTAGCAGCTGCTAATTTACGTTGTCACTACAGCAACAGAACGACGAATCGCTTTTGAATCTTATTCTTCAACTTTTGCGCTGCTTGACGTACTCTGAAACAGTTTCTATGTTTCTATTAAAAAACATTCGCATACATTTTACGAAACAAATCCTAGCTAGCATATTAACAGACGTTGTATCTCCTCATACAAATAGTTCTCTTGGCGGTTTGCACAATCATAAGTATTCTAAACAAACGCGAAAAGCTATTAGCGCAGTGTATTGAGTCATAAACTGGATCGGTGCAGTACAGTACGGGTGAGTAACGGTGCGCTCGGTCGGAGGGCCGCACTAGTTCCCACGCCGGCACGCCGGATACTTTCAGACCGCCGAAAAGCCGGCGCGCCGGTAGCAGGTACTCCAGGCTCTGGTGTAGTGAAAGCAGGGGGGCGCCGGCGATGTGCACTGGCTGCGGTATATGCGCCGCCGCCGGGTGGTTGAGCAACGAACGCCCGACGAAGCACAAAGTGCCCGAGACGCCGTGATTTGTATTCTCTCTAATGTAATGATCCATTAACTGAGCACGGTGCCTGCGGTCTCGCTCATCTATTAAATTTTGACGCTTACTTTCAACCTCCAAACATTGCAAAACGTTCTTTTAATTTCGATGCTACGTAATTAATGTTCATGAAAAGCACTGTTGTAATCGTTCTAAATACAGGCCAGTTATACACAAATTATCTTTTTTAGGGTTCCGTGCCTCAAAAGGAAAAACGGAACCCTTATAGGATCACTTTGTTGTCCGTCTGTCCGTCCGTCCGTCTGTCAAGACCCTTTTTCTCAGGAACGCGTCGAGGTATGAAGCTGAAATTTATATCAATTACTCAGGTTTACTGTCCCTTGAAGCTGTGAAAAAATCAAACTTCTAAGCCAACGCAATCAAAAGATACAGCCGTTTATGCCGCAAATTTTCGACACTTGCAAGGGAATCAAAACCTACAGGGTGCTTCCCGTGAACTCAGAATCTTGAAATTTGGTACCAAGCAACGTCTTATAGCATAGATAAAGGAAAAATTACGAAAACCATAAATTTTTAGTTACATCACATAATATATTTTTTTTTAATAATTTTAACCTTACTACCCATTTCCTCATAAACGCGTAGAGGTATTAAATTGAAATTCATACCAAATACTCAGGTCTATAATACCTTTAAGCTGTAACAAAATCAAACTTCTATGTCAACGCAATCAAAAGAAACAGCAATTTAAGCTGCATATTTTGAAACTCGCAAGTACTCGCAAGGGAATCAAAACCTAAAGGGTACTTCCAGTCGACCTAGAATCTTGAAATTTGGCATGAAGCAACGTTTTATAGCACACATAAAGGAAAAATTCCGAAAACCTTAAATTTTTAGTTACATTACAAAATATATATTTTTTAATAAATATAAACTTATTACTTTTTTCGATAAAGAGATCTTTGTCTTAAATTTATGCTCCTCCATCTTTCCCCATTGTAATGTTATGAATTTCATTTTGCAATAAAAATACCATAGTTATGACTCGATTGTCGTAATGAACGAACTTTGTAAACCTTGCAGGTTTGTACGGAACCCTCGGTGCGCGAGTCCGACTCGCACTTGGCCGGTTTTTTGTAATAAAACTGTGTCTTCTTGGTAAATTTTTGTAGTAGAAATTATTAAAATATATAAGAAAATATATTCATCTTCACCTTCGATTTAAACTGGCACGTTTCTATGTTAAAAAAATAATATTAAACATCAATTGCTAATAAATTGTGCATCATGGCAATGAGAACAATGCACCCCGCAAGCGCCCGCTTACCGCTACCGAGAACCAGCCACAGAGAAATAGGCTCCGAGCAACTTACAGGCGACAACATCTATCTATACCACCGCTCACACCATCTCTCATTCAAGTAAATACTTCAGAAAAATAATTTGTTATTTAAACGTATGAATGGCTGCTTGAATTATTCAACTAAAATCCCATCCGTATTAGAGAATTTAGTATGCTCCACATAAACACACTAGTCATGGCTTAATAACCTTAACAGTACCTGCCTACATCTAAGGAATTGTACACTAAGAGGATCTTCATATAATTTTACCGCATGCACTCATCAAAATTCAGCGCGTTTAACTGCATTTACTTAGTAGCTATAAAGAATTCCGTTACATGCCTACGTGAAGATTTTGATTCGCTTTATTATTCCATCCTTTTAAATAGACAAATATAAATAATACGAGTATATGCTTATATATAATGGCTTCTTAAAGATGCTTTCAAACGCTTGAATGCTTGCTAAGGGCAAGTCTACTCCAAGGAGTGCTAAATAAAATCGAACCGTTTGAATGTTGTAAAAACACTAATTTATTTCAGTAACTTATTGTGCAAAGGAAAATACAATTGATGGGTATGCTTAAAGTAATCTGGGTCAATATGAAATTACATATTATAATGTTGATTAAGTAGGTATGTACAGCTCGTACAGACTCGTTGCTACCAACCTCAAAAAAATAAGTAAGGTTTAAAGTACGAAATCTACTATTAGTACTTAAAAATGAAAAGACAACAGACGTCTTAAAAGCAGAATCTCTACTAATTATTCCTTCAAACAACAGTAGGAATTTAAAGGCGACCAAGAACCAAGGATCGTTGAAATCTATCCAGAAATGTCTGTTATATAAATATAATAGAACCTTTTTACACGACTCTCAAAAAAGAGGGATATATTGGTATTTACATTCTGCCATCTAATTGGAATTATATAAATCTCTCTAATGAGGTCCATTTAGCAGCAAATGTGTTAATCTCAATTTAACGAAAAATAAATTTAGTTGTTTATAATCTATTTTAGTACAATCGAGATTTAGCATCATTAGCAAGTAGACCTAAGTTCTAAATCATCTTATAAGTAAGCTTATTAGAAGATATTTTAACAATGCGAGCTT